GTGTGTCCCAGGATGAGCTCTGGGAGCATAGGGGAGGTAGCTCAGGGTGAGGCTAAAGAAGGGTTAATTCAGGAAATTAAAGGAAGGAAAAATAAACAAGAGAATGAGTGATGTCTTTGGGGCAGAGGGGCTTGACGTGGGTAGACAGAGTGCACATCCCAGTAGCATGTGGCATGGGAAGAGAGCACCAGTCATATAAAAGCTGGAGTTAACAATTAGACCCCCCCCAACTGGAGTTAACAATTAAGGTGTTTCAAGCATTAAATTATGTTACATGAAAAGAGCACAGCATAGTCTTATGTCACAAAAGGTTTCTTTAAAAAGACAGAATAAATATATATTAACACCGCAGGTGTCTGCTCTGTGCCAACATTGCTTTTCAACTGAGTGATTGTATGGTCAACACCAAAGCCTTATGGGAATATGGGTTCCCAGCATTCCCACATCATTTACTTGTATTTTAGCTGCTATGTTATAAATACAGCAGGAGTATGCTACCCACCCCACACTTGAATTCTCAGTTATTATGGCCTGGTGTGCTGGTAAATTAAACTTATATGAAGGATATGTAACACACAATTTATAAAATACAGTTTATTGTGCTTTAATAAAACGTAAAATACCCTTTATTATAAATTGACTCTTCCATAGAGTCAATTCATTCTCACAGAGTGCCTGTGTTTATATTGGTTTAATTCATATCCATAGCCAACCAACCTGGGGTTATGATTAACAAAAGAATATAGTTCCAACATGAATGTTGGCCAATGTCCTTTTTTAAGTTAAAGAAATGTAATACAACAAAGACGTATGTAGGAATATCCCTTGCTCATCAGTGACACTAGTAACTTTTTGCTGAATCAGATGACAGATTTTGAGGGATGGAAACATATCTCCTCAGTTTTTATACTATTCCCAATGTAAGGGCTACAGTCGTGATGTACTGTTAAATTTAATCTGTATCATTATGTTTTCTCTACTACTTTCTCACATCTAGCAATCAATAAAACCAAAAATTAAAGCTCATATTTATATCGTTTGCCAATTTCCATGATATAAACTCCCGCTGTGGTCCTTGAATGCAGAGCTGGGAAGAGAGGGGCTGCTGCGCCGTGATTTGCTGTGTTACTTCCAAGTAGAGACACAACAAGGGTCAATTACCTCAAGAGCATATATATCAGTAATGTCATAAAATAATTAAAAAGTAATGAGTTTTGAAGCTTTATCCCTTGTTTTTAATGTAATTAAACTATAAGTTTATATCATTTAATTTTGTATGTTTACATAATTTAACAATGGCCATATTTATCAAGCAGTTCACAAGATTTCTGAAAATTGAACAATTGGCTCTCACAGGTCAGTATGTGTTGGCTTGAGCACACCACTGGGTAGAGTTGTGGGGAGGGTACTTTGATCTTGATGGGGAGTATAGTGAGGATAAAGAGCAGGTTCACGTATATCACCAGCTTTTACTACCCTGATGCTCTTGGGGAAGCCCACTGGGTTGACCTGTTAAGATGGACTCTAAAAGCGTGACCCTGGTCCTCCAAATCTCCCTGTGATCACTGGAAATAGCATTTTCCAGAGTTCTATTCTTATAGCTGAACTCCTGAAAAGGCATGGGGGTCTTACTTCTGCCAATTATAGCCCCTTCCCTTCAATGAAAAATTAACCACAAACAAAAAAATAAAGGCAACCCCTCACACACAGCACAGGGCTCTCTAAAGTCTACCACACTGCACCCATCAGGGAAATCAGGTTTCTGTCAAGTGATCTCTGTGACTGTGACACCAGGACCTGACCACATGTTCAGGTGATATCCAAAATCACCGAGTAAGTCATAAGTAAGCGGTCCCTCAGATTATCAAAATTCAGTCATATAACTCTTTGAATTATCAAATGTGAAGGGCAGTCTGACAAAACACTTTTTTCTTTTAAAAAGAGTTACCAGGGAGGACTGGTCAGAGATGCTGTGACATCATTTCCTGGAGATAGCTGAGGAAAGGAGAAAAGCACATTTCTGGCCAAAGCTGGGATTGGTCACCCTTCCCAGGTCCCATGGTCACAGTGCCTGGAAGCATGCTTCTTGAGAACAGCAAAGTGATTTAAGCCCTGAAGTAAGATGAGCAATCCTCAAGACACGGGTAGAAAAAGTCCCCAGAGACACAGGAAGCAGCCTGTGATGCATAAATCAGACAGCAGAGGCAGCACTGCCTGACACAACGACGACGTTTCTGCTGTGGTGGCAGTGGCGGGGGCGTCTGCGAGCCACTGCCGGCTCCTGGCCAGACACCCTCCTCTCTCCTCACTGACTGATGGATCTCAAGAGGCTCCACTCTTTGACCCTCCTGCTGTTTCTGTCCCTGGCTTTTGAGCAGAGCTATGGAATAGGTGAGTGAATCTCTGTCTGAGAGTCCCAGTCCCTGTCAGCTGCCAGGAACCGGCATAACCTCATGGATGGAGGTAAAGTGCAGGTCTGGGGACTGTAGCTTGGCCACTTCTTCCTTAGGAACTGGCTCTGAGTTTTGACTGCCTCTTTCAAAGAGGAAGGAATACAATGAGTTCCCAGGCCCTTGGTTCAGCAACCCCACCCCCACCCCCAAAATCCTGTATTTCAAGGATACCAGGAAGAGGCCCTGTCACATTCCTCCCAGGTTTCTCAGGGTGAGAGAGGCTCTGGCGGGAGTCATGGTTTGAGCAGTTGGTTTTGCATGGCCATCCTTTGGACCCAGACAGGAGAGACTGTGCCGAGGGACAGCCCTCTGGGAGATATGTGCTACATCCCTGCCCTGGAGGGGACACACAGTCCAAGAGAAAGCAAGGGCTATATCGGGAAGAAAGGGTAGAAGTGAAAACCCCAGGTCTTTGGCTGAGAACTGACAGTGGCCACAGTGTGGTCATACTGGTGGCTACTTTCTTGGAAGAGGCGGTTTCAAGACAGCAAGAGGGGAAGAGATTGGGGTTCCTGGCGTCCAGGGCTGGTTACAGAATGTGGGAAATGCAAATCGGGAAGCCTCAGGGCCGGAGCAGCCCTCAGAGCTGGGCTCTGTCTTTCTGGCTGTCCTCCTCCCAGGCAAGCTGCTCTTTTCTGTTTAGCAGTATCAGGGCTGTGAGAAGAGGTACTTGAACAAGAGATGGACTCCAGGCTGGCACGTTAGTGCAGGGAGGATCCCCTTCTGTTTATTTGTCTGGACTATGGGAGGCAGCTTGGAGTAAAGGAGGTGGCATTAGGAAAAGGGGGGAAGTCCTGAGGTCCAGGGTGTTTTGGGCTTGGAGTTTTCAAGACCGCAAATCCATTATGGACTTTTCTAGGAAAAGCCCCCAAATAGGCCAGAGATGTTGAGGGGCCGCACATCGGATGCACCTCCTGCCAGGCTGCCAGAGAAGAGGCCCTTGCTGGACCTCTCATTTCACTTGGAATCAGCAGACTCCTAGTTCTTCCTTCCCAAGGTCTAGGGGCAGGAGAGCTGAGCTCAGGGCTCAGAAAGCCAAACTGAGGCCCTGTAAGTGGTCACAGGGAGAGCCAAGACTTCCTTGTTGCCCCCAGTTTGTGACTCAGTTTGTTCAATATTTCTTGGTGACTGTAAGCAGTAATGGGCTGAACTGTGGGCCAGGCCTTTCCATCTCTGCTGGCTGGACTCCTGGCCAGCCTGCCCCATGGCATCTCCAGCGCTGCTGACCAGCCACCTGCTCCACATAAGACTGTGGAGGTCACTGGTTAGAGGCACAGCCCAGCCCCACAGGCGCATCTGCCCACTGGTGCCACTTCCTTCCTTGTGTGTCATCTTCTCTGAAATATTTATAAAAAGTCTTCAGTGTTTTTATTTTTAAATACACATTCATTTGTGAAACCCCAATAAAACCCAGATGGAAATGCTTTGCAAATGGGGCTGGTCAGTCATGAGAGATTTTCCCCAGACAAGAAGCTTGATTCTTGTAAACCACTAATACCTACTCCCCTTCCACCTCTGCTCCGCTCAACTTCCAATTCCCAGTCAATCGTGAAACTCAAAAAGTCCACAGGCCCCTTCCCAAAGTGAAATAGATTTTCCATTCCCCTATTAATATTTTTTTTAAAAATAGGCTTTATTTTTTAGAGCAGTCTTCAGTTCATAGTAAAACTGAGCAGAATGTACAGAGATTTCCCCCCAGAGCCTCTGCCCCACTCACCACATGCCCAGCCCACCCTATTAGCAATGTCCCTGGCCAGCACACTGTCTTTTTTTTTTTTTTTTTTTTTTTTTT